GGCGATCGCGGGTAGTTGGCATCTGCCCGCGACGACACGCCCACGCTCGGCAAGCGCCGTGCTGCACACCACGGCACCAGCGACCTCCGACGCGTCCGAGGTCGTCACCAGGTGGTCGACCTCGAGCCACATGTCGACCACGCAGCGCCCCGACAAGGCCAGGCACATCAGCCAGTCCTCAATCAAGCTCACGCTGAAGCGGCCTCCACAGCCCGGGTCGTTGAGCCACTTCCAAGTGTAAGCGAAGGTCGCGGCCAGCGGGCGGCGGACGCAGTGCCCGCGACCCCAGCGCCCAGGAAGAATACGTTCCAGCTGCATGCTGGCCCGCCTCTGGCCCAGAACCCAGAGCGCGAGGCTGGCCTTCACAGCGATGTGCCCCGCCGGCGGCCGACGGACACCTTCAACGCCATCAACAAGCTCGCCCAGCGGGGCAGCGCGCACCACGCGGTGCACGTCCTTGCCTGGGGACCCAGGCGACCTTGTGGCCTCGCAGCAGGCAGGGGCGTCGGGCAGCAGCTCGGGGACCGCCCCGCCCAGCTTGTCGGCCTCAGGTTTGTCAACGGCCTCGGCGATCTCTAAGTTGTCCACCATCATCCAGGCAGGCGGGCAGGGCTTCTCTGCATCAAGCGGCAGGCGGCGGCGCCGGGCAACCTCCAAGCCGCGGCACAGGCCGCGAGGCACCGCGCCGCTGCGACGCAGTGTGTTGCGATGACGATGAGTCGCATCACCCACTGCGCTGAACCAGCCCATGCCGATCACGCGCAGGCAGATGTAGACAGTGCCGCCGTCCTTGAGACCCAGCAGGCACGACGGCGCTGGCGGCCCGACCCCCATGCACGGCCACCACGGCGGCAATGCGCGGAAGGCGTAGAAGAGGAAGGCCTTCATGTCGGCGCCGCTCCACACCAGGTCCTGAGAGTCCGCCAATACCAGGCCGTTCAGCTGGCTCATCGTCGGCACCTCGGGCGTGCCGCCAATGATGCACTCTTGGCAGGCGTTCGACGGGATCAGATCAGAGGTGAGCCTGAGCACGGGCCTCAGCACCCCGTCCTGGCACTTGACAGGGGCGTCGTGGGCCTGCACCGAAGTCGGCGCCGCGCGGCTCAGCGCAGGTGGCAGCAGCACCAGCTCAGAATCCAGCAACGAGTCGCGCGCGAAGCCCGTCGCGACCTCGGCAGCCTCAGTCGAGGCCGCAACCCCAGGCGGCGGCAAGCTGTCCAGCACCTGCTCCACGGCCAGCTCATGAGGGGTGGTGATCTCGGCGCCGCCGTAGCCGTTCTCGTAGTCCTTCAGGCAGTCCTCCCAGTTGAGCTCTGCAGGCAGGCTGGCCTCGATGCGGGTCGCCAGGTACAGGGGGCGACTCAGGGCAGCCCAGGCTGTCCGCTGAGCAGCACTCGGGCGCCTGCGGCAGAGGCGCCCGAACTTCGGCGAGCGGAAGCCTGCCTCCCCGTTGAACGCCAGCACCGCGGCAACCAGCCTGCAGTCGGGCCTCTCCCAGTTCAAGTCGCTAAGGTCAACGCCGTCGCACACGACGTCGGTCTTCACGATGGTAGGGTACGGTAACGGCAGCAAGTCACATTGCCGCCGACCTCCCATGGTGGCCATGTGCTCGCGCAGCTGAGGTTTGAGGGAGTCACGGAAGTAGCGACCGAATGAACCAGGGAAATCCTCGGCGAGGTTGAGAAGGATCGGGCCCACGTCATAAGGCTCACGGAGCAAGTCACCAGCAGCCCCAGTAAGCCCTCCCCAGTCCTCCAGTGGATCGAGTCGAGAAGAGTTCTGGTCAGCAGTGGCAGGCGGCAGCCCCAGCGGGGTCGCAGCGCAGTGGTCAGATAGCGAACGCGACGGCGAAGCCCCAGGCGGTCCGCACGGCACACCAGCCTGCAACGAAGCGGCTGCTGCGTCCCGGGCGTCATCAGCAAGGGCATCGTCCCCACGGGCTTTCACCGCGCCGCCGCCGGGGGGCCAGTCCCGCGGCCGCCAGGCGGGCGGGGCCGCGAGCCGTTGGCCCTCCCTGCGTTGCGTCCCCTGCCGCCGCGGCGTCTCGGGCGACCGCGTCCTGCTCCCAGGGGGGCCGACGCCGCCGCCGCTGGCTCGTCCTGCCTGAAGGTGCGGCGCTCGGGGCTCCCCGCTAGCACAACTCGGCGCGGGTGAGGGCTGTCTCCCCGTGGGGTCCGCTCCGTGTGGGGAGACGGAGTCCGCGCGCGGGGGCCTGAGGGCGCTGCGGCGGGTGCCTCCTCGGCCCGAGGCGCTGCTGCCGGCGACTCTGGAGCGTGAGCGGGGCTGCTCCCTCGGAGCGGGAAGTAGCGGAAACGCCCGCGACCTCGACCCTTGCCCTTGCCGCGCGAGAGCTCCCGCGCTGGATGGAGCGCGGCTCGAGAGGGGGAGCGCGGCCGCTGGTCCTCCCGCGCCCCCCCCTCGGGTCACCCGCGCCCCTGGCCGCGGCCGAGCGCCCCGAAGGCCCCGCGGCTCTTGGCCTCCTCCAAGCGCCTCCTCAGCAGCGCCGAGCGCCGCGCCAGATCCTGCTCGTCCATCGACGCCGGCGACGGCCTCACGTCCGGGCGATCTCGAGCTCGCTGGCAACCTGCCAGCCCGCGTCCGACAGCGAGAGCTCCAGAGCCTTGAACCTCTGCATCAGCACGTCGCTCAGCTGCGGCAAAGAGCCGCTCTCCAACTGGTCCAGCGCCGTCGCCAAGGTCTGGAGCTCCCGCACCGAGTTGACGCGCAGCTGCGACACAGGGTGGTGGCCGAACACGATGGCCTGCAAATACCTAACCACCTTCGGCCTCGTCTCGGAACCGTCCGCCCCCTCCCGCAGGCCCATGACGCGCGCGGTGTTCTGCATCGCCTCGTCGTAGAGGGCGCCAGGCTGTCTCTCCGCCAGCAGCCGTACGCTGCCGCCGCGAGAGGGGGCGTCGCGAAAACGCGGCTCGCCTTCGCCGTGACTGCGGCTGCCAGACTCATTCCGAGCCCGACGCCTGCCGCGGCCCGTCACCCCGCGGCTGCCACCGGCCCCGACCGCAAGCGCGCGGGCAGCTGCTGCCGCCGCCAGGCGTTCGGCGGCGGCTCCGCCAGGGATGGGGGAGGGACCGCCTCGACCAGCTCCACCGCCACGGCCGCCGAAGACGCTCGGGCGCACCCAGGGCTCCACCACCCGTGGGTCGAGCGCAGCCGCAGCCACTCCACGTGCAGGACGGCGCGGCCCGCCTGCGCAGGCTCTCCACACCGCGCCGGCCCCTGCGCGCAGAGGTGCAGCAGGCCAGCAGGACCGCCGCCCCGCGGAGGGAAGGCGACGTCGAAGCGCATCGCCTCGGCGGCCAACGACGCGCCCCTGAACTGCGCGCTGAGATACTGGCCTCCAGCACCTGGTACACCGACATCATCGATCTCGAACAGCGCGGTCCCACTGATCGCCCCCGTCGCCTCGTGGGTCGGCAGCTCCACGGCCAGGCCCTGGCTCCAGTTGGCCCCGATGAGGGTAGAGGCCTGCGTCCAGGCACCGTCGACGAGCCCGTCAAGCTGCAGCCCCGCAGCTGGGACGACCGCGCCTCCCAACGCGCCGAGGGCAGCGCCCGGCCCCGCGGGCCCAGCGCCAGGCGGCGCGCCCGCGCCTCCAGCGCCGCCAGCGCCTGCAGCGGCCAGCGCCCCGACCAGCGCCGCTCCAGCGCCGCCGCCGCCGCCGCCAGCCGCGCCGTCGCCAGGCGCCCCGAGGCCAGGGGGTGGGCCGCCCGCGGCGCCCACGCCGACGGCTCCAGGCAGTCTAGGGAAGCCGCCGATCCCCGGCATCACTGGCGCCCCAGCAGCGCCATCTCCAGCCCCCACGCCAGCAGCACCTCCAACTGCAGGCGCGAGGCCGCCTCCGAGGCCGACGGGCGCCCCTGCCGCTCCAGCCGCTGCGCCAACGCGCCCGCGTGCGCCACGTCCTCCGCCACGGCCAGCGCCTCGCCCGCGGGCGGCAGCGACAGGCGCAGGAAGGGCCTTCGCCTTTGCCTTGCCCTTGGCCTTGGCCTTGGCCTTGGCCTTGCCTTTGGCCTTAGGCGGCATCAGGCGACAAGGTCGACAGCGCTGTGATCTGCGCCGCTAGCAGCCGCACCTGTTCGACGAGCAGCGCCCGCTCCTGCGGCGGCAGCCTCACGCGCCCCCTGGCGCGCCAGTGCGAGGAGGTAGCACAGTTCGCACACCTCCAGCAACGTCCCGCCTTCCGCAAGGGCCAAACTCTCGCCCTCGGCGAGGCGGCCAGCGCACCAGCCGCAGATACGAGGCCGCTGGGCCCGCGGGGCGGTGGAGAGCGCGGTGGCGCAAGCAGGGAGCATCCCAGGCCTCCCAGGCCCTGAGCCACAAAGGCTGCCATGCGTTCTGATGCGGCCAACGTTCGCTCATTACCCCTTCGCCCACACATTGACCGTAAACGTGTTCATATGTGTATGTGCATGCATGCAAACATACATACATGCATACATATCAAGCATGGTTAGAACGGGTTGGGTACGTCACCGCGTAATTAAGACCAGTGTGCGCTACGCGAAGGCGAGAACCACAATTTGAAAAGGAATCGCCCTCAGTCCGTGAAGCGCTTACAGTGTTTCTATGACGAACGTGCACGGCGCAAAGGCGAGAACCACATTTTGAAACCAGCCAGCCGCCCTGAATCCGTGAAGCTCTTGTAAATGTTTACGGCTAGTGTGTGCGGCGCTACGGAGCGAGAGCCACATGTTGATGACCACACCCCCTTCATCTGTGAACATGTTGCCAGCTTCCAAGCTGTAGGGTCAAACATGGTGAGGAAGCGAAACGCCTGGCCCGCCCGTTCGACCAGCCTCGGGGCGAGAGGGAGGATATATGTGTAAGGAAAAGACTGGAGGAGGAGGTAGAGGAGAAGGAAGAGGAGGAGGAGGAGGAGGAGGAGGAGGAGGAGGAGGGGGCGGAGGAGGAGGAGGAGGAGGAGGAGGAAGAGGAGGGGAGGAGGAGGAAGTGAGGAGGAGAGATGATGGAAGAGAGACAGGGGGGGAGGGGTAACCCATGCGCGTGGAGGGGCACAGCGGTGCGCTCAGGGCTCGGCGGCGAGCTTCTTGATGGTGGCCTCGTCCCTGGAGACCTGCTCCATGAGGTGCCTCAGGGCAGCCTGCTGATCCTCTCGGCGGCGCGCCAAGCGGGCAGGTGAGAGGGGCCAGGCCTTCTCCGGAGGCGGCAACGCTCCTCAGAAGCCCTCCGGCCTTCTGACAAGACGCAGCCAGAGACAAGGATAACATCGGGATCGAGAATCTCTGAGATCCGGCGGCTCAGGAGGATGTCTCGGGCGCCGCGGCATTCCCAGAGCGTTCCGAACGCTCTGGCACGGATTTGTCCTGGACCCGGGCCCGCCCGACAGAAACCCTCTGGCCTTCTGACAAGCCGTCCGTGTCTTCGGAGAAGGCTCCAGAAACTACTCCGAAGGCCGGAGGTCTTCCGAGCCTTCTGAGAAGGCCCGCCGCCTCTGCCTTCCCCCGTGGGCGCACCGCCGATCCTCATCCCATGCCTCGTGGAAGCTCTTCCCCTCCTTGATCGCCAGCAGGTCCTTCGCCGTGTGCCTGAGCGCCTCGACGTCCTTCTCGTTGGCCGCCCTGTCGGCTCGCTCTACGCCCCTCGTCTGCTCGCCGAAGCGGTCCAGGGCCTTGGTGGCACGGGGGATTGAAGGGGGCCCT